GGGAAATCAGTTACCCTTTTCCATTTCAGCCTTGGGGCTTTGTCATTTCACAAAAGTGACATGAGCCATTTCATTCATGTATTAGCTTAAGGTAGGGTTTAGAAAATGAGGCAATGGTGGGGTATTCTGAATTTCTTCAAGATCAGCTGAGAGGAAAACACATTTTTAATCTTGCATGGTTTTGTGAATAGAAAACAGGGTATTAAGTACTGTATTGGAATTTTTTTTTAGTCTTATTGCTATTGTGTAGAAATTAATTAAATCTCTTGGTTTTTTTTAGCAGTAAGGTTTTGGGATGTTTTTTGCTTGTGTAACATCTTACAGTAGAAAATGTGTACATTTCAATGCAGAAAAATATAAAGAGAGGAAATACCTTTTTAATGATGATCCTTGTGGCTGCAGCTTTTGTTGCCTTCTGGGTGCTGCCCTCACACAGCCCGGGAGTCCACAGCTGCCATGATTGCCCCATCTGCCAGTCCTCTCCATGCAGCCTTGGCCTACACGTGTTAACTGTGAGGAAGGCATGTGATGATTTTCTTCCTTTTGTACATGAGCACAGGGAGTCATGTGCCCAGTTCACGTGGCCTCAAGTCAAGTGGGGAGCAGGATTCAAATCCAGATCTGGGCCCTCGCCTGAGCTCCAGCCACCTGACTGTGGAGTGTGTGTTTATGTGACATGCCCAGTTTTGTGTGTTGGTTTTGTTTTTCACTCACTACATTGTAAGCACTTTTCTGTTCTTGGGAACTCTTGAGCAACTTCCTATTGTCATCCCATTCTGTCATAGTGGACTTTATCATGGGAAGAGTTGAACTGCTTTCATACTGCAAACATCTTCATGCTGAATTAAGGTTCTTGGGATGAAAGTCATGTGGGTTAAGTAGACAGTCTTTTGACATTGGCATAATCTTATAAAGATTATAAGATTGACTTGGATTTCTGATAAAGAGTGGACTAGTGTCGTTTAAATACACATTTAGGAAATGCAGCATAAGGCACATGAATTTTCTGAGCAGTTGAACCTTAGACTTTTAAGAACCCAACCACATACACAGGTATTAACTTTTATAGGAAAACTTTTTTCTGAAACTTAGTCTACATCCCTGCTTTCTTAAACATGGTAGACTGGATTCGGTGACGTTGTTCTTGCTGACTTGAGTTTCACTGTGGATGTCATGTGTTCCCTGCATTAGAGAGTGTTCTCCTGTTTCATAGACATGTCTTTTCCACGCCCCCTATTTGTCCTGGTCTCCCATGGGAGGCGCCGTGGACGGAACAAGCAGATCTTGCCCTCACGGGGCTTCTTTGCTAAGTGGCCCTCCAGTACCCTGTGGCGTGGGCACAGGGGCTCCTTGGCCAGTGCTCTTCCTGCCTCCCCTCTTGACTTCATTAAGGGTGGTTGGGTATTTGTGTGTGAAAAATAGCAACACTTACCTGAGACTTTCTATTTTTCTGGTTCTTAATCTTTCTCATTCCTGGGCTTTTCTGTAGCACAGAGATGATGGGAAATGTGGAGCTGGCCCCGGAAGTGGATGTCAGCACCCTGGAGCCTTTGCTTTCTCCAAATGTGGTCTCTGAGCTCCTGGACACATACATGTCAACTCTCACTGTGAGTAGAGCACTGCGTTGTCCCAGACGGTCTGTGCCTAGTGCCCAGACATGGCATTGGGTCTCCACATATCGTGGAACTGATTCCAGTGAGCCAGAGCGGGGAGTGAGACCCTGCCTTGACGTTGGCTTCCTAAGGATACGCAGGCTCTGTTTCTGGGAAATCGGGTCTTGAAACGTACATTTGCCAGTTAGAGGAGGAGAGTGGCCCACTCTGGCCCGGGATCTGAAGATTGGGGTATACATTCCAAGGTATGGAAACTGTCTCTGTTTGGAGGGCTGGGCCTGGTAGGCTCGCAAGACCCCAGGACGTTCTGCTGATGTATGGTGGCACCTGCCAGCCTCTTACCATTGATCCTGGGATTGAGAAGGTGGCAGTTAGGGCACCAAATATTGCCCGGTCACCCCAGGGTCTGCTCTTGGGATGGTGATGGTGCACCTCCCCCCCAGAAAGTATTCTGATATGTGAGGGGCTCTGTGCGCAGGAGGTAACAGTGCTGGTGTCTGGTCTTCCACAGACAGATCTGCCTCCATCATCCATGTATGTCTGACAAACCCAGCTTGTCCTCCAAAAGGATAAGTTGGTGGAGGTGGTGAGGGCACCACCACTGTGGAGCTAGCTCTTGGGATGGCTTTTCTGTCATTCCCTTGTTTGGGAACAGGAATTCCCAGGGTGCTGTGTTTGGTTTCTGCAGCTGCCCCACTTAATCCTCGGCTCATAGGGCCTGTTCTTTTCTTCCTTGATGCTAAACTTCCTTAGTCAAACATCATTGCTTGGTTGCGGAAAGCTCTAGAAACAGACAAGAAAGACTGGATAAAAGAGACTGAACCTGAAGCCGACCAAGATGGGTACTACCAGACAACACTCCCGGCCATTGTCTTCCAGGTACCGTCTGCAGATTCTGAGGTTCATTTCTGGTTAACAGGGTCTGCGGGTTTCACAAACACAAGGTGCATCATTTCATAGTGAAGATAGAAAGAAGCTCCCTAGTTCCTTAGGTCCTTCTCTTTCTGGAGCTGAAGAAATGGAGGGTTGTATCTGCCAGGTAGTTCTTCCCAGGGTCATTTTAGTTTTCCTAACCCTTTTTTACCTGAACTAGAAGTGAATTCCGTGTTATTTATGTGTAACACTCAGATTTGAGTTTGCTTGTTTGGAGTTTCTGATATTGTAAATGGCCAAGATATGTCTTCATAAATGTCACAAAATTGAGTCCAGCCTGATGGATTTGGGGAAGAGTCCTTTAGATTTTAATGATAATCATGCATTCTTACAGTGAATTTACTTTTAATGTCCTGTCGCCTGCTGGTATCCCCCAGCGTCCTCTTTTTCTTTGGCCCATGGGCTTTTTCCCCTTTGAGTGAGTTGCTGACAGTAGGAGGGCTGAGTCCTATTGGAGTATTCGTATGGCACTCTGTCTGCGGACTCCAGCCAGCAGAAGTGAGTGTTGGTGGTGTTTTTCTCCAGGTGATACCATTACTTAGCCATGGGTTGGTCCTCACCTTTTCTTTGATTTGGAAAGTGTGACATGATAGCCCATTTACGGCAAGGACCTGGCTTGAACTTTGCCTGCTGGCCCTTCTGTTTTTCCAAGTCCGGTTCCCCTCCGATCCAATATATGTCCTAATTCGTTTTAAGGAATACACATCGCTAATCACAGTGCAGCCCCTGGCACCCATATCACCGTGTCTCTGGGCCCTCCATCTCCCTGTCAACTTCCCACTTCAAGGAGACCTGCCTGTTTGCAGGTGATTAGGAAATGGTTCACTTGTTTTTTTTTATCCGGTGAGAAAGTTGTTTGTTTAACTTTATTTTTCACGTGTTTTCATTTTTTCCCTCTGAATTTGGATTGTCCTAACTACCAGTTAGCAGATGGGGGTTTTATATAACAGGAAAACTGCTGTTGTGAGTTTATATCAAAATTCGTAAGTTCTCCAATTTTTAGATGTTCGAACAGAATCTTCAGGTTGCTGCTCAGATAAGTGAAGATTTGAAAACAAAGGTACTAGTTTTGTGTCTTCAGCAAATGAATTCTTTCTTAAGTAGGTATGTATTTTTGCCAGTGTACTAATTTAAAAAGTTTATGTTTTTAAAAATTAAAAGTAAAAATGTGTTGATCCTGATATGCCTGATATTAAAAAAGAACTTAAGCCTGGGTTGACTGTAGTCACCTTCTTTTGTTATTTAAAAAGGCAGCTTTTTCTTGCTCCCTCCAAGTCACCAGTCCCCTGAGAGCCAGATCTGATCTGTGACGCCCCCAGCAATGTAGTCAATATACCGCAGGATTGGAGTTAGAGCTTCTTCTGAGACATGTATCCTTCCCCTAGTCTGACTTTCTGGGGTGGGGAGGACAGCTCCAGGTGCAGTGGTTACTCTGAATTGCCACCCCTGGGAGGCACCCCCTATAGAGCCAGCCCTGGACAGGGGGCTCAGAGGGACAGTCTCCAGGACACCTCCCTCCCTTTGAATTGTTCATGAAGAAGATTTTTCAAACCTGTGCACAAGTAAAAGAATGACATAAATAACTGTTTACCCATCATCCAGGTTCAAAAGCTATCCCTTTAAAGCCCTTGCCTCATCTGGTCTCTCTACCTCCTCCCCTTTCCCTCTTTCTTTCTCTGCTGAAATAACTTTAAAGAAAATCCCATGTATCATTTCCCCTGCATTCTCTACCCTACCTAAGTGCTGTCAACCCATATAAAACTTGCACAATTACTCCATGGGACCATGTGATACCACTTTTGTATTTGGATTTTCCCAGTGGTTGCAGACATATTATCTCTTTATAGTTAGTTATTCTACATCATGTGTGTTTTTTGGGGTTCTCAGCTCTCCAGTACAGGAGAACAGCCCCTTCCCCTCTTTAAGCCATTGGCTTATGGAGATGTGCACATTGTCCTGTAGAGCAGTGGTCACCTACCAGGGGTCTGTGGACCACTGGTGGTCTGTGAGGTCCGAAAGGTTGGCAACCACTGCTGTAGAGAATCCAGCATCCTCCAGCCTGGGTCTCAGATTGCCGTCTGCCCACAAACCACAGGTTGTCTCTAAAGACTTGTAGGATTCCCCTCTTTACTCACTGTTCTGCAAGAACTCTGCATAGGTGGTGTGTATGCTCTGCATGGCAACACATCAGGAGATGCGTGTTTCTCTATCCTGTTCTGGTGGCTCATTGCCAGCAGCCAGTCCCCTCAGAGTCCTCATCGGCCATCCATCTGGGGAACATAGCCCGAGTTATTCATTTTGTTAGAGGAATGAGATGGGATTCTTCTGTAAAGAGGAAGTTTTTCTCATCTGCCCCAGCGGTTTGATTACCTGAACCACACTTTGGACAAAAAGGTAGAATAAATACTGAATAATTTCCCTTTAATTGCCAATGTTCATTTTGGTCCTTCCTTAAGATCTGTTCTACTCCTGTACATGTTAGAGAATCTTCATAATAAATTAAAAAATAAAGCATGTAGCCATCTCAGTTGTTTGTTTTTGTGATATCTAAAGAGTCTAATTTATACTTAACACATGACAGTGTTCCCGTTGTATAAGTTTCTAGGGGAATTATGTCATATAAATAAGATAATACTTTCCCAATTACTCACCATCAGATATTTCATAATATTTGTATAATCACAACACTAACCCCTATTTCAAAGGGTTGATAGGAAGTTAAATTGTAATAATTTATTTTAAATGACCAACTTTTCTGTTCTTCTATTAGTATAGAGCAGTGATGGCAAACCTTTTGAGCTTGGCGTGTCAGCATTTTGAAAAACCCTAACTTAACTCTGGTGCCGTGTCACATATAGAAATTTTTTGATATTTGCAACCATAGTAAAACAAAGATTTATATTTTTGATATTTATTTTATATATTTAAATGTCATTTAACAAAGAAAAGTCAACCAAAAAAATGAGTTCCCGTGTCATCTCTGACACGTGTGTCATAGGTTTGCCATCACTGGCATAGAGTGCCCCCCAAATTTTTTTAAAGACTCATCTGTTCAAGTGTTAGTGATGTGAAACATCTGTTTAGGTATGATGTCAGTGTGGCGTTTGAAATACCTGCCAGTTATTCTCTGATGCTGTTTGATGTGGGCTGTGTTCCTCAGATACAAAGACGAAGCTCAGTTGTACAAAGAGGAGCACCTGAGAAACCGGCAGCACCCGCACTGCTACGTCCAGTACATGATCGCCATCATCAACAACTGCCAGACCTTCAAGTAAGTGTCGTTGGGGCTGAAGACAGGCATGTGCGGACACTCAGCTGCCTCACTGAGCCTCAGCTGTTCCCTTGCAGAGAATCCATAGTCAGTTTAAAGAGAAAGTATTTAAAAAATGAAGTGGAAGAAGGCGTGTCTCTGAGCCAGCCAAGCATGGACGGGATTCTGGATGCCATCGCCAAGGAGGGCTGCAGCAGCCTACTGGAGGAGGTCTTCCTGGACCTGGAGGTAGGGCACTCGGGCTGTGCATTCGAGCTGAGTGTACACCTGCCTTCATCCTCAGTCACTGTTAAAGCGCCGTGGCTTTTCTATGTGGTGTAGGCCCGAGTTTTGGTCCTTCTGCTACGCAACTGAGTAAACACTCCCTATAAATATCAGTGGATTACAAACTAGAATCAAGTATGTCACAGGGAAACTGTTATATTTGTTAGCATTCTTAATGCCAAACCAAACTGAGAACACGTGCATGATGCATACGCATGTCACATAGACCAGGCTCAGTTTTGAATAAAGATATAAAAGAAAGTCATTAACAAAATGCATTTAATTTCATATCAAAGGCATAAATAACAAGTAAGGTTTATTTCAGAAATGCAACGATGGTTCAACATTATACAGCTGTATTGGCAGAAACCAGAATATATTTAAAATACAAAGCCATGATTTCAGGTTCCCTGGAAAGGAGCTCCTAGGATGATTGGTGGGATAATTTCATGATGTCTGTCACTTTCTCGAAAATTATTTAGAAAACAAATGAAATGTATGAATTTGAAATTATTTCAAAATATGAAAAAAGACAGTATAATCCAAAAGTAGATAAAAGACATGAGTAACCATTTCACAGTAAAACGGTCACAAATATCCTAAATATGAAACAAAACGTTCAATCTTACTGATCTTCAAAGAAATGCAAATTTAAAAAGTCTTGTTTGTTTCTTATCAAAATGACAAGGATTGCAAACATTGATACCACTCAGTGTTGTTGAGGGCATGAGCAAAGGGACAATCTTTTTATTTTTTTAATCCTCACCCAAAGATGTTTATTGATTTTAGAGAGGAAGGGGGAGAGAGAGAGAGAGAGAGAGAGAGAGAGAGAAACATTGATGTGAGAGAAACAATGATCCATTGCTTCCGTACACACCCAAACCAGGAATTGAACCCACAACCTTTATGGTATATGGGACAACACTCCAACCAACTGAGCCACGCAGCTGGGGCCAAGGGACAGTCGTGTTCTGTGTAGAATATGAATTGTGCAGCTTTTGGAGGACAGTTTGGAAATAGCTAATTAAGGTTTTAGTTTCTATACTTTTTGAACAATTCCACTTTTAGGAGTTTCACCTGCAGAAGTGTGTGAATTCACTGTAGCATTATTCAGTTGTAAAATGTGAAAAATTTTAAATGTTCATCAGAATTGGGTAACTAGAGTATTCATATAATACAAGGTGGGGCAAAAGTAGATTTACAGTTGTTTGCATGGACAATAATACAATAATTAATAAACAATAATTAATAGTAAACTTTTATATACTCACAATGTAAACCTACTTTGCCAAACCCTCTGTATGTAGTCATTAATGGTGAAATGTTTACACACAGATACCTGCATATCTCACAGGTGTGTGTCATCTGAGCCCTGTGTGGTTAAAGTACATACTTGCAGGTCACCCACCAGTAGTGCTTGTGATTACCAGGTGCTGTCACATCAGTACATCAGGCAGACGTGCACGTGACTTGGGGACAGTGTCAAGGTGATATTTTCTTTGGGCTGTGCTTTTTAGCAACATCTCAGTGAGCTGATGACAAGAAAATGGCTGTTGGGATCGAACGCTGTAGACATCATCTGTGTCACCGTGGAAGACTATTTCAATGATTTTGCCAAAATTAAAAAGCCGTATAAAAAGGTAAGAGTATGGGGGCACATTCACGTGGTGTGAATTCACCTGCATCCTAGAGCCCAAATGGCATTTTGTGTAGAATCCAGTGTCAAATTAGTTCAGTGAATGGAAGTTCCCAGGTGGTTTTATTAACCTAAGGCAGGTAGGAGACATCAGTGTCTAAAGATAAGGTGGAGGTGGCAATGATGGGGACTCTGAGTGAAGATTTAGACCGTTCATCTGACTACTGTCTCCTGACACCCCAATAAACCCACAGTGACACACGGCCTAAAACCTGGACCCTGAGGTGGGGGTACTGGCTGTGGCTCTGATGAGAGGATGGGCAGAAAGGCAGTCCCCTGTCCAGATCCCCGTCACAGCACGTTGGCTGCCGGCCCTTTTCCACTCCACAGAGGCCCCGTGAGAACAGGGAGCTCCTGTGTCACTCACTGTCTGAGGTCTTAAGCATAACATGCCATTATGTCCTCATCAAGGGCTTGGTCATCTTTCTCATATACACTTGGCCTTGTTATAGTTTTTGCTAATAAAAGTGTTACTTTGTAAAATCAGGTTTTCTAACTTTTTGTTTCTAAAAATTAAGTGTTTTTGATATGTTGACCTCATACCTGGACACTTTGTAAAATTTTCTAATTGTTCCTAGGATTTGTCTCCACATCTTTTCATGTCTCTATGCAGACAGGTGTTTTATCTCTGAACAGTGACCTTGTGTGTTTTCATTTCTGATCCTTACAGCTTTTATGTCTTCTCCATGTCTTGTTGCACTCGACACCCAGTCCCGGGAGGATCCATGTTTAATTCCTAATTTTAAAGGAAATTCTTCAAACTGCCATTAAAAGTGACACTTGCAGGGAGACCGAGGTGCTTTAAGTCCACCTGACTCATGGATCCTTGTACAGCTGATAGGAGCCTCTGGTGCTTAGGTGTTGGTGGGTCAAGCAGCTCTGGTCAATAGTGAATTTCTTGTTGTTTGCAGTTTTTTGTTCCACTTTTTATTTCTTTGAACATTTTGAGTATTGACTTAACAGTTGATCTCGACCCCATGTTTAGAGTCCTTGAGCCGGGAGCTTGTTGTCTCTGTGGACTCCCAGTCTTAGTGTCTCGTCTCCTAGTCTGATTGGAGTTCATGCCTAAACTGAGAACGTCTGCACGCCTGAGAGCCTGGGCTGTTGAGTGTCACACAGTCCTCTGACCCTGGTCTCGGCAGTGGCCCCGTACGGGTGCTTGGTGCGGTCCTGCTTGTCTTATTTGGGGCCCCTGGGGCCCCTCCCTTTGGCACAGGATAGGGAGCATCCAGCTTCCCCAAGTAGACACAGCTTCTGTTTGGTCTGGGGCTGTGATGTTGGACATCACGTCATTGCAGTTTGATTTACATACTTGCGGGATGACTGCCTGGTGCCCATGTGCTGCTTGAGGGTGGGCTCTGGTGGAAGCTGGGATCTACACTGTCACACACTGTGGAGAGAACCATGGTCTCCTCTGAAGCTTCCTCAAATGGATGGACTTGGGTTCCTCCCTCCTCTGAAGCACTAACATTTCTGTAGACTGGTCATTAAACAGCTCTGTGGATGAGGGCCATGTGTGCTTCATGCATCTGTCCTGTGGAGCCTGTCTGCCTGTGAGGGCTGGAGTTGGTGCCTGGCTTCAGCTCCCTATTTTCCCACTGACCCCCACTCTGCTCGGAGGGTGAAGTGCTCTGAGATGGGTACAGAACAGGGCAGCTCCGTGGACGCCCATCTGCATGGCTCCTGCCAATGCTGTGCCCTGCCTGCACAATTCCCTTTCACCATTGGGCTTTAGGGAAACAGAGTGAATACTGCTGTGATTTTCTAAAGTAAAATTTATAACTAAAAGTCACAGATGTACTTATTTACCTAATATATTTACTCTGAAGTTCTGCCATTTGTGCTGGCGGGAAATGGGAAGGAATGTGTTCTGTTCACATGTCGACCTACATGTAAAACGAAGCCCACATGTTCGGGCTGACACATCTCTGCTCTTTAGCGGATGACGGCGGAGGCACACCGGCGCGTGGTGGTGGAGTACCTGCGGGCTGTTATGCAGAAGCGCATCTCCTTCCGCAGCCCTGAAGAGCGCAAGGAGGGCGCTGAGAGGATGGTCCGGGAGGCCGAGCAGCTGCGCTTCCTGTTCCGCAAGCTGGCATCTGTGAGTGCCACCGCCTCATACCCTTCACTGTCACTAATAAGTGTCGCTGTGACTTCTTTTCCTTCCCACCCCTGGGACTTTAAGGTAGTTGATCAGGATCAGTCACCCCAGGAACCAAGTGACTTTTGTAAACCGGAGGATCTGCATGCAGATCTGTCTGACCTGTGGTTGGGGCACATGCACTCAGGGTAGTAGCTTCTAGGTCAGTGAAGCCGAACCTTTTGAGCTTATCATGTCAGCATTTTGAAAAAGCCTAAGTTAACTCTGGTGCTGTGTCACATATAGAAATTTTTTATATTTGCAACGATCATATAAAAAAGATTTATATATTTTTTTAAAATATATTTTATTGATTTTTTACAGAGAGGAAGGGAGAGGGATAGAGAGTTAGAAACATCGATGAGAGGGACACATCGATCAGCTGCCTCCTGCACACCTCCTACTGGGGATGTGCCCACAACCAAGGTACATGCCCTTGACTGGAATCGAACCTGGGACCTTTCAGTCCACAGGCCGACACTCTATCCACTGAGCCAAACCGGTTAGGGCAAGATTTATATTTTTGATATTTATTTTATATATTTAAATGCCATTTAATAAAGAAAAATCAACCAAAAAAAATGAGTTCGCGTGTCACCTCTGACACGCGTGTCATAGGTTTGCCATCACTGTTCTAGGTTCTTCTGGTGATAGCATGTAGCCAGACTTCAGCTGTGCGACACAGTGCTCACATGTCCCCTCCCTTACGAGGGGCTAAGCTGATTTCATGATCCACCCAGACCTCCAACGTTGTGTCTGTGCTCCCACGGGAATGGCCCCCAGTGGGAACCAGTCTTGGTGTTTATGTGAGAGAAGGGAATGGGCTGGTCAGGCATCCTTGGCCAGAGAGAGGGTTTGACGGACTGCGTGCTGCTCATGGACTCCATACTGACTTCTAGGGATTTGGCGAAGATGCAGACGGGTACTGTGATACGATCATCGCTGTTGCAGAAGTGATTAAGCTGACAGACCCATCCCTGCTCTACCTGGAAGTCTCGACTCTGGTCAGCAAATACCCAGACATCAGGTAATAGCCTCCTGTCTCAGCCAGAACCCAGGGAGCGGAGCCGCAGGATCATTCCTAGGGCCTGGGCTTTAGGCCTGACCCCGAGGGGTGACAGTGAGCCGGGTCTGGACTTGTTTGAGGTGCAGACAATAGTTGCAGGCAGAGTGGGATTCTGAGAGCGGTAACGGACATGCTTGCATCTTCTGTGCCCTCTTGCCAGCCCTGCTGTAGTTCATGTAGCTCTCAATGGTCAGACTGCACGTAGGGCTGGGTGGAGGCTCAGTGTGGCGGAGCAGAGTGGTTTTAGGAAGCTTCTGTTGTGCTTGTAGTGGGTTCAGGGAAGGGAGCCAGTGTGCCATGCTTGCTAGAACTCCTTCCAGCTTTCATGTGGACAGTGCTGGCTGCAGGCTCCCACCAGCCTCTGTGAACCCACCCGGGTCAACTCAGCCAGGTTTCTTTTCCTGCTGCTGTTCTGGTCTTGCTGTGAGCAGAAAATCCAGCGGTCCTATGCTCTCCAGGGTCATCGTGCTTTAATTCATTCATTAAACAAAGATTTAGAAAAGCAACCTTTAAAAATCTTTGCAATTGTAGATTGAAAAAGAGACTAGATTATAATATGCAAACTTAGGCTTCTCTCCCTCTGATCTGAAAAGAGAGGCGTGCCTTTCACCTGCAGCTATTGACCCTGTTCTGGGATCCTCAGTGCCCGCTGAGCTGCAGGCAGGGATTGGGGGCGGGGGCGTGCGGGGGGGACGT